TAGATAGATAGATAGATAGATAGATAGATAGATAGATAGATAGATAGATAGAGTGATTGTGCAAGAAAATGATCTTTGGAGTATCTAAAAGATTACTTAATCTTGAGCTTGTGTCCAAGAACAGGAGATTTTGTGATGATTCCTCATATCAGAAGGCAAACTTCTTGTGCATTTAAATTAAATTAAGTTAAATTGCTACTATGCCTTTCTTTCTCCCTCTCCAGTTTACTGAGGAACTTAACATTAGTAACGGATACTCCAGTGAAGACCTACCCAACGCAAGCTTTCATCTGGGAAATATTTGAAAATATCTTTAAGACTGCTTCTGGCATTATTAATTATGCACCCGTGTTTAAATCCTATTTGTATGAAGGGCTGCAGGAGCTCTATGAAGATAATGTGCAGTATGTTGAGATAAGAGTTATCCTGCCACCGGTAATACATTTCTCCTTCTCTTCCCCCTCCCCTGTTTTTCTTCCCCTCTCCCTTTCCTTCTCTTCCTTCCCCTTCCCCCTTTCCCCTTCCCCTTCCCCCCTTCCCCCCTTCCCCTTTCCCTTCCCCTTCCTCCTCCTCCTTTGATCTTCTTTGAAAACATAGTGCTTGCGTGTCTCTGACAGAATGGACAAAAATATACTTTTTTTCAAACATCATAATCAAAATTCAAAACTACCAGAATGGTAGCCCACTTTCCTTAAGTTGATAAAGACAGAGAGAAATGGATGTTACATGAAATACATTCTACCACCCTTCATGGAGAAGGAAAAATCTTTTTTTATATCATGTATCCTATCAAGTGCTTTTATTTCCAGGTGGCAGTACTCCTTTTGTCCTATACTGGGACTCACTGGACATATATAAGCAGATCTTATTCTGTGGTTTGAATAAGAATAAGAGTTAGCTATATACATCCAATGAGTCCAGATTTACCATGAAATTAGTCGCATACTGCCTCCTGGTGATCTATGTTAGCAAGTCATTACGTATGGTATGTATGGTTTTTCCATAAGAGCTTTTTTCACATGGTTTACATTTTTGTTCTTATTTTGCCCACAGATATATGAGCTGGATGGAAGTCTTCATGATAAATTTTGGTCTGTGGCAGCTGTTGAAGAAGTGACTAAGCAATTTGTAAACAGTCATCCTGATTTTGTGGGTGTAAAACTTATATATACAACCCTCCGGTAAGAAATGTCTAGGTAGCTTTGCAACTGGGGCAGGTCCATACATTTGAATTTAAGTAAGTAATGTTAACAGGAAAGGTGGAAGAGCACAATTATACTGGCACTGGGATTAGATCCCTTTGGAAAAAAAAAATCTATGTGGGTGACTTCAACTTGATGGCACATAATCAATCAATCAAATCATCTTAATTTTTTAAAAATTAAACCATTTTCGGTAATGACTAAAAATCCCAACGTATTCTATCCAATGAGTGTCTGGAGATATGTTTCTTCCTGATGCCCATTAGGACTGTAAATCCATAAATCCAGAATTACAGACCAACACCCACATCATTGTAGCCAGTGGCAAGAGAAATGGGCAACATTATGGGTATCACAGCTTCCCTGTCCTACCATAGCTCTTTTCTGGATGACTTTTAAGGCCTACCAGTCTCCTGCCTTCCTTTCCTCCAACTTACTTCTTATTTCCCTGGAATAGAAACTAGAAACTAGATCAATTGATAGAAAAGAACTAAATGTGATGGAATTTGTGGGCTTGTTGGACAGTGTTAAAGGGAAGGAGTTTGAAAGCTCATGGGCATCGGACTAAGATATAATTGAATCTCACCACCTCTGAAGTTGTGGTGTAGCAAGTTCTGAATCTTCACAAGGATGAATCTAAAATATGTTATAATGAAAGTGAGGAATAACTTGGCTTATTCCGAGCCAATCCTAATTGAGCTTGACATCACAGTGGGCACCACAGTTTTGGCATGTTTCTCCAATTTGGTATCCTCAAAGTTATTTGTGAGATTTATATTCTAACACAGAGCTGTCAAACTTGATTTCACTGAGGGCCACATCACGGTGGTGTTTGACCTTGGGAGGGCTAGGGGGAGCATGGCCAGCTTGACGTCACTTGTGTTGGGGGTGCCTGTGGTGGCCCGAGTGCTCTGCCAGCGAAAACAGGCTCCCAAGGTCCGTTTTCAGCCACAATGGTCTCCTGTAGTCTCTGCCAGCGAAAATGGAGCTTGGGATGCATGTGCCCCCTGGGTCCCGTTTTCAGCTGCATGGCCTCCTGCAGCCTTCTGCCAGCAAAAATGGAGCTGGGGGGATGCATACAGCCCACCCAAGCTCCGTTTTCGCTGGCAGAGGCACCGCGGGCCAGTCCTTTGCTGTTTCCAGGGCGGCCTGGTAGGCCAGATCTAAGATGCGGCCTTTGGGCCTTGAGTTTGACACTCTTGGTCTAACTCAGGGGTGTCCAACCTTTCACCTTCCCTGGGCCACATTAGAAGATGAAAATTTGGTTTGGGCCGCACATAAAATAAAATAACAGTAACGATACCCGATCATCCCAAAAAACCATAGAAAACATAGTTAACATATTAAATTTATTTGGAAATAAAGTTAGTGAGATGTTTTTATTATTTATTATTAATTATTTATTAAAAATTATTTATTATTTATCACGGTTTTTTTATCACAGTTTTTTTATCACAGTTTATTTTCCGGCCAAATTTTGCGGTGGGGGGGGGGAGAAAGCTCGCCTGCCTCACGCCTACCTCTCCTCCTGCAAATAGCCCGGCTGGATGAGGCAGGACTGGAAGGCAGAAGCAGCAGCAG